GAGAGAGAGAGAAAAAGGTTTAGAAGAGAAATTGATTTTGATTAACTGTTTGATAAATGTTTTCTCACTCTGATGCAAAGCTTAATACACTAAGGAAAAATGCTTAAAAAGCTAATAACACTAGCAGCCCAGTATAGATAAACGATGCCCATTTGATACTTATCAGAGTAAACTCTTTCATATTTGCTACTATCTCTCTTCTTCCAAAGAACGTCACCTACCACAAGCGAGTTGCAGAGCTGATTCATGAAAGGTAGATCATCATGTTTTCTTTTTACATAATTATTTTTTTCCTGCTTAATTAGCTTCCTTTGATCTGTCTTTTGTACTCTGTTGTGGTCGATTCTGCTTTAAAAGAAAAATAAAATAATCTTTGGATTGTTACAAAATCTTGTTTCACGAATTTGACGTACTTGAATTATTTAGGCAAATATTACTACTAGTTTGTTTGAATAAAAGAGTAAAACAATAAATTCTTCGGAAGGTATCATCATGTCGTTTCTCAAAAAAAAAAGAAAAGTATTATCATGTCTCACTACATCAACAAAACATGTCTTGTAATTACTAACTAGATTTTGATCCACACTAAGCGTGAGATTAAATAAGTAAATAAGTTGACAAATTAATTTTTTTTTAAAATAATTTTTTAATATTTAAAGTGTATGACAAAACATATGATTTTTAATATCTATAAGTGTAGAAATATGATATGTATTGTGTATAAATATAATAAAGTTGAATACTTTGATCAAGCATGTTAATGCCATTAGTTTTAATATTTTTATGTGTAAAATTGATCAAAACATATGTAAATATTATTTTTCAATATATTTTAATATAAAATTGATTTTCATTATTCGCATTAATTATATAGCATACGATAATTCAAATAATTTTTAGTCTTATATAAATTTGTCGGACATAACAAATGATTTTTTTTTATGTTTTCCAATAATGAAATGTATAAATAGTTATAAGTGTGATTAAATATGTATAGTAGAATACATATCATAACAAAAATATTTTTGTATAGTACTAATCTAAATACATGTATACACAATAGACAATTTTTATAAATATAATTGTAAAAAGTTTGTTAATATATCATAAAAATATATGTTATGGTAAGTTTAAAACATTATATTTAGTTGGGTTTAAATTTTGAAACATATATTAATGAATTTATATTAAAAATTAATGAAAATATATAGAGAATTTCCATCATGGCATATACTTTTAATTGAAATGTTTTGATTGGTTAAATTAAATGATATGTCCATTAAATTGCTCTTTTATTGACACATATGATTTTTAGTGTTTCCTCAATTAATATATAGATGATTAGATATTTGGATCTTCGTTCTTGTGATTTTATTCATAAAATTTTTAGTTAAATTTCCTAACCACAAGTTTCAACTCCCACAAGTTTGTACTAAGATTCAACATCTTATGTGTTGACGGTGGAACATGAGAGTAGTTTTATGGCTGAGGGAGTTGATGAGCAAGTAGCTGTCAAAGACATTGTTGATGAGGCGTCCAATCGCGACGCTAACGATCTCCATGTACTGTGGAAAGCATTTGAGCCCTTTCTTCCGAACGATTTCGTCATCCTCCCATGTCCACATCTTCGAGAGAAAGAGCTTTTCTTGAGCAAGAAAAAGAAAGATTAAAGCTTTTGTGCGAGAGACAGAATGATTTAGGGCTCCAGTGAATTTGTGATCCGGAAATTGGAGATTTTACTAGAGAGAGAGAGATTTAGGGCTCCGCGAATTTGGGAACTTTTCCCGAGAGAGAGAGAGATTTAGGTTTTAATCATCATTAATGGATTTAAAAAATTGTTTCAACTAAATCAATATTTGGTTTAGTTCTGTCGATCTTTTTGATGAGGATATAAAAGAAAAAGGGATCAAGAAGCGCGTGAAAAGACTTTCTTGTTTCTTAGTGGATCGCTGGACATTTGCTAGAGACATTGAAGACATAACTAAGAGGATCTCTGAGTTGATTGCTCGAATGCAGAGCTTTGGAATTCAACAGATCATCGATGGTGGTCTGTCTCTACAAGAGAGACAAATGGTGCAAAGGGAGATCCGACAAACATTTTCTAAGAGTTCTGAAAATGGTCTTGTGTGGAGAATGATAACATCCAAGTGGTTTCCATATCCGGGATGGGTGAAAAACCACTCTGGCGAGACAAGTTTTTCATCATGACATTGTTCGACGTCATTTTGATGGATTCACATGGGTCTGTGTTTCACAAGAGTTTATGCCGAAGGATATTTGGCAAAGGATATTGCAAGATCTTAGACCATATGATGGGGACATTAAACAGATGGATGATCATACACTCCAGGCTAAGCTCCTTTAATTGTTGAAAACATCTAGACATTTGATTGTCCTCGGTGATGTATGGAAAAACGAAGACTGGGACCAAATAAAAGACGTGTTTCCCCAAGAAAGAGGTGAGCTATCTAATTGTATATACATTACTTGAGTACTTTTCTTTTCAATTTCATAGATGCCTTTTAATCCCTGGCATGAAAGAAAATACAATTTGCAGGTTCGGAGATGATTCTTACTTCTCGCAATGAAGGTGTTGGTTTACATGTAGACCCAAAATGTTTTGCCTTTAGACCAAGAATCCTTACTCCCGAAGAAAGTTGGAATCTATCATGCACTACTATATGCATTTGCTGTTCACAACCAATCTCTCTCAATTTGGACAAATCAATAAATAATTTTCGTGTTATATTTGGAATTCACACAAACTGTATATAAATTGTCGAGGTAAAGTACATTATTTACCCGCGTCCATATTTTTTAGTATTGCATAGAGATAGAGGTTTGATATTATCAGACACAAATAGATTGGTTTGAATTGAAACATTGCCTCAATGTCAACTCTCGGATCATACATGACCCATAAAATTGAACATAATTATGTAAAAACAACTCTCAAAATTTAACATAATTCATAACCTATAAAAGCAAAAAACTAGAGTCGAAATTATGAGGAAACAACCACCTCTGACTCACATAGGTCTGGGTTTGATAGCATATTACAAAGCCTTTAGTGATTGCCACAGAGTGTTTAAATAATGGGTTAATTTGCAAGATAACAAAAAAAAATTAATAATTAAAAAACTAACTAAAATTGCCCTATGTAGCAAAATCATAGTCATTCAATTTAGGGCAATTGGTTAGTTTGAAATTTTTGTTGGTTATGTAGGCTAATTTCCCTTAAACAATTACGTGTTTTTGTTTGTTGCAACCAATGAGAATTATCCACGTCATTCTCTTCCACGTGTCGCCTGTCACTAAGATTAAGATCCATCCATAAGCAATTTTCTTCTGTCGTTCGTCGTTGAGTCGTCGACTCGCCGAACACACCTCTACTCTGTGAAATTTCGAATTTCCACGGCTTGCTTCGTTTGCGTTCTGATCGGTTCCAAATTGACTGGTGAATCTATCGGATCTGTAGAGAATTGTTGAAGCTTCTCTGAGTTTTTTTTGTTTGCTCCCAGATCTTTTGTGGTCTTTACAACCATGGCCGCACCATTTTTTTCAACTCCGTTTCAGCCTTATGTCTACCAGGTTCGCTTCTCTCTTCAATCATCTTGCGACGATTTGACTATTTCATTGCCGAGGAATTTTCTGGATTCGTGTATTGATGGTATTTTGAGGTTCATTGTAAGCAAGGAGTTAGAGTTGTTTTAGTTTAAGTGGGAGAACACATGATCAGGCTAATCGGAGCTTTTAGATTTTCCGCTGTATAGTTTTCTGAGATGATGTGATTATATGACACTGATAACAATGTTGTTATTGTATCATGTGATTCAGAGTCAACAAGAAACAATTACACCTTTCCAGATTTTGGGTGGTGAAGCCCAAATTGTTCAGGTAGATGATCGCTAGCGTGATCTTTGCATTTTTGCTGTTTATATCCTTTGAAATCTTCCAACTGTTGGTCGTCTCTTGGCAGATAATGTTGAAGTCAGAGGAGAAAGTCATTGCTAAGCCTGGTACTTCACCTCTTCTCTGTTCAGTTTTTTAATCTACTGGGTGTTGATAATTTGATATGGGGGTGTAGGTTCCATGTGCTACATGTCTGGGTCCGTCGAGATGGAAAATACATATACTCCTGAACAAGAAGTTGGAGTCTTGCAGTGGATTTTGGGCAAGAGTGTAAGCAGCGTAGTTCTACGGAATACAGGGCAAAATGATGGATTTGTGGGTATTGCTGCACCTTATTTGGCTAGGATTCTCCCGGTTAGTGTTTTTTAGCTTACCATGTTGCCAAAATCGTCACCCTAATCTAATTCTTGAGCGTTTTGGTGATCTTCGATTTATTTGTTTCCCTGTAGATCGATCTGGCAATGTTTGGAGGTGAGATCTTATGCCAGGTAGAGTCTCTGTTCCTGCTGAACTCTCAGCTTCTTCCTCATTCAAGCATCTATAGAGTTGCATGAGACCTTGTATTCTTCTTGTGTAGGCAGATGCATTCCTTTGTTCTGTCAATGATGTGAAGGTTGTCAATTCCGTTGACCAGAGGGCAAGAAACATTGTTGCGGCTGCCGCTGGTGCAGAGGTAAGAAGAAGAAGAATACTTTGCATTGGTATTCTTGCCAATTCCACAAATCCTTTTCTGGCTTCTTCTACTCACAGTAGTGTTATTGTTGCAGGGATTTCTGAGACAACGCCTATCTGGACAAGGTCTTGCTTTTATTCTCGCAGGTGGCTCAGGTAAGGGTTTTATCTGAACAAAATGATTGTTCCCGTTTACGTTTTCGCCTCATCCCCAAAATTACTGACTCTCCCAAATATGTGTTATAGTTGTACAAAAAAATCTGGAGGTGGGAGAAGTTCTCATGATTGACGTGTCTTGCATCGCTGCTCTCACACCCTCAATCGATGTCCAAATCAAATACAATGCTCCTTTGAGACGAGCTGTATTCGGGGTACATTTTACACTCTTGCTCGTATATATTTATTCAGGCTTTTTTCTTTCTTTCAATTCTCTCATTAAATGATGTGATTTTTCTATGTGCAATCCTACCAAAAGGGTGATAATGTAGTAATGGCGACTCTAACGGGACCAGGCGTCGTCTTTATCCAAAGTTTACCCTTTCATCGGCTTTCGCAGCGTATCGCAAGGTAAAAACCCGAGGATTGAACCCAAATCATCTTCTTCTTCCGTGGCTTTTGTTTGTTGTGTAACAAAAGAGTGTGAGTGGTTTTGTGACAACAGGTCGGTGACGTCACCAAACATGAGGGAAAATCCAAGATTGTTGATACAGATAGCGATATTTGCGTTCCTTGCATACGCTGTGATTCTATCTTCGTTGATGTTAACCGAAGTTTGAAAGCATAGAGTGAAAGAGATAAAGATTTGGGTTTTTTTCTCCGACCAACAAGAGAAGCACTAGTGGGTTGAGAAGCACGTGTTATTCTGACATGGCTCTCTTAGTTTAT